TGCAGAAAGCTACTTACACATGCAGAAAGCTAGTTCTATATTCACTTGTTTTAGAAAGAGCAAATTGGATTTTTAAGTTAACAAGCAGACTATCAATCAGATTCGCAAGTCATTCTTCTGGTCTAAATGGATTTCCAATATGGCTTAATTCCTGAAAAATCTTGATGGCTCAGGCACAGAATCATAGAATGGTTAGGGTTGGAATGAACCCTAAGATTATCTAATTCCAACCATGTATGTGATAAACCGGACTTTTAAAGGCATTAATTAGGAAGAAGTTCTTCCCTGTGAGGGTGGTGAGGCACTGGCACAGGTTTCCCAGAGGAAGTGGAAGGTGTTCCTGCCCGTAGCAGGGTGTTGGAACTAGACAAGCTTTAAAGTCCTTTCCAAACCAAACCAGTCTGTGATTCTGTGATTAATGTGAATTATAGTAAGAAATCCCTTTTGTAAATCTGGCTCACAGTGCTTGAAACTGAACATAAAAAAAAAGAAATGAAACCTGGCAACACCAATGATAGTAATTTTAACAACAGAAAGGGACATAGTAAATGGAAAAACACGTAACAGTCTGAATACTGCCATTCTCCTTCTAATCCTTTTGCTAAATCCAAAGGATAATTTGAGAAAAGATCAGACCATTCAGTGGTGTATTATTTACTGGGTTTGTGAGCTTTCATAACTTACACAGTTCCTTTTCACCTGCACCATGCATTAGAAAAGAGCATTTATCTCAGTTGTGGCAAGAAAAAAGTTACTCTTCCTAGAAGATGTGAGCTATTACTGAAATAAAGTAAAGCAAATTCTCCTGCAAATGATGGAAATTCCCTTCACCTTGAGTACTTCAATGAAAAACTTCCAAATTCTTTTAAAATCATTTGACTGATTTCTAAAGCAAACTCAAAACTCCAAAAAGGTATGTTGTAGCCACTTCCTATAATTTTAACAGAGATTACTAAAGAGGATTTTTCAACTAACCTTCATATAACCTTCAAATAACAAATAACCTTCATCAAAACTGCTTACATTCAGATTTCTTTTAGAAAAGATGGCCAGCCAAGTCTGTGATCATTCAAAGATAAGGTTCTCTCCCTTTATGCATATGATGGCCTTCAAGGGAAATAAAGCATTATTTTAAAAATATATCAATTAATGTTTCTTTATACATGTACACACAGAAGTGTGCATACACCAGTGGAGCAGCTCCTAGATTAACTAACTCATTAGTTAACTTTAATGTATGCCAAATTCTTGTATGTTGCTAGAATTTTCATTAAAAAAGTTCTAGAGGAAAACAATTTTTTATTAACGTGACTCTCTGTAGCTACTATGTGGCTACTAGGAATAAATTGTACCCCACTTCCTTTTTCCAGCTACAACTAAAGCCCTGAGCTATTATTGGTAGCTCCAGGAAAGATACAAGTTTAGCAACTGAAGTTAAAGTTATGTCATTTAAAACCTGGCACAATCAAAGTAACTGCTGGGCATGTCTTTCAGAAGAAAAACAAAGTGCAGTAAAACCAAAATGTAATATAAATATGCATCTGTGTTATTCATTGATGTTGTTAAGCAAGTATCCACAGGCAAAAGACTTTGAAAAATATAATGTTGAATTCCCTTTGATAAAATGAATGTCAAATCTCCGAGTGTCATTGGTGTGACTGTCTAATGTATTAAAAAGTGGATGACACTGGAATTATACTGTTGCACAAATGAGTTCAGAGTTTAACATCCAGATTCTTTTTTAACACAAATTTACACATATCCACAGATACAACACAGGTATTTTAATTTTTCATGTATTTACTCCTTAAAAGATCATAACAATTCTAAAAAAAATACAAAAAATATTTTTCCTGTTTTGCTAATATATGCCTTTTAGGTATTTGTCACTATTGCATCAACATGAGAGAGCTGTCAAAGTAAATTCAGTATCCCAGGTATATTCTTGTTACCTAAACTACTACACTGATACTTAGCCTGGATGCCTCTGTTGTCTCACATCAGCATCATCTTTGACATCTGGCATCAAAGACTATATACCTAGAGAGGAAATACTTCTACCGTGCCTATGAAAATTGCTCTGAAGCCTTGACATTTCATACTAGAAAAAAAACCTTCAGGCATCTTTCAGGAAAAAAATTCAAGTATTGCCTCAAGACAGTCTGCAACTTTATGAAGGTCTTTTCTGTACAATTCAGTAACTGGAAAAAACTTTAGTCTCCCTCTTCCCTAGCACAGCTTCAGCAGAAGAGTACTGGTTGCTCTACAGTGGTCTCGCCCATGGCAGAAATCCTGCCCCCCCTCCTAACCTTGTATAAGTAATCCCAAAAAAGTCTTGACAAACAGGAGTGTTCTCATCAAAAAAGCTTATTCAGAAAATTTCCCCATGTGTATGCTTTATAGGATTTGGCTAGTTACTTGCAGCTAAATGAGCTGACAAAAATGATTGTGCTGTCATGAATAAATTCACTGTTATTAGTTATTCACTAATTGCATTATATTGGTTAGCAGGCATATTCCTCTCTTGGAGTTCTTAGGTAAAAAGACATTTTCTTAACAGTCAAAAAGCAGGAATCTTTCACTCATTTGATAAGTAAAAATATTAAAATAAACTGCAGTAGAGCTGGAGGGATTAACAGTCTTTGATGAAGTGGCAACTCCAATCTTATTTGTGAACTTAAGTCACAACAAGTGACAGAGGTCACTTTAACTAGAACTTTATACTCTTCCATAATGCAAATATACAGGGGAAAAAAAACTTTCAAGGAAGTAGAAGCAACAACATGATTTCTTCTCTGAACACCAAATTCTATGACCACTTTGAGAAACGTAAAGAATAATGTTTTACTTAATGTCCAGATCCAAGCAGTAGGCAACTTCCACCTAGGCAAATCAAAAAGCTCTGATTATAATCTTCAATAGGTGGAAATTTCCATGAAGCTTTGGCTAAGCACTAAGCATTCCATCTGAAACCTCACAGCTCATGTAAATATGTTGCAGAACCTCAATGCACGTAACTTCACTTGAATTGCCTGATTCTTCAAATTAGAAACACACCACCTAAAACTGACAGAGGATAAAGAATGTAAGTCCGCAACATCCTTGACCCCATATGCCTGTGTTAGCAGTAACAAAGGTGTGAAACATTATCTTCTTACTTTATAAGTTAAATAGATATATGGTCTTATCTGTAGTCAACTAAAACAAAACAGAAAGTTTCCACAGAAGTCTTTTACATGACACTTGTTAATCCCTTTCTCACAAGACAACAGTTTGTCTATGGACACAATGCTGGAAGAGGAAAAAGCCATTTGGCCTATTTTATGCACAATTCCATGATGCAGCTTAATTAAAAATTCACCACATGCACTTAACTTAGCATTCTTTTCAGGCTCTCAGGAGAGCAGTTTGGAAAGGTTCACTAATAAGATGATAGCCATTAATCAGTCGATTTTGCAAACTCAATCAAAATGCCAGAGTACTAACTAAAAAGAAGAACTGCTGCAGCATTTTCACCTATTTGGTGATCAAGATTCAAGCAGCAAGATTCCTTTTTTTTTTTTTTAACCCTCCAGATTCAGGGTAAAATCTGTCTCTTCAAAAAGCATAGCTGAAGTCAGAGAGGAGAAATATCTACACCAAAGTTTAATACAGTGGTTTTCTGAGGATACTCATCTGTCTTTTCCTCAGTCACTGAGCCCCCTCTATGTTTCTTTTCAGGTTAAAATTAGGTGATGTGAATTAAAAGCAGCGCATCACTGTTAGAAAGAATTACTTCTGCCATACATAGGTATGTAATAGTATCAGCACATGTATGTGTAAGCAATTAGTAAAATATAGAACCAGATATAAAAAAAAACCCAAAACTGAAGGAAATCATAAACAATGAGATTTTCAGGTACCTGTGCTTGCCTACCAAATCAATCAAACCAATTATACTGAAAGAGTGCAGGAGCTTCAACTGGAACCTTACTTAGACACGATTTTCTTAAACAATCTTCATGCCAAATTTTTGGTCCGTATCATGATTTTGGAACATTTTGATTTTGTTTTGGAGGACCTATCAACTTCACTCACATTTCCAGTTGTGACCCGTTTGGAAGACCTTGAAGAACCTCTTAACTAGCATGTATTTTGGGCGTCAAGAAAAATCAATGTTAAAACATGTGAAAGGTGAGCAGAAATAGCTTTCTGAAAGCACATCTCCCTCCTTCAGCATAAAGATCCGATTACTAGTGTGATGCTACACTGACTGTGAGTAAAAGTTCCTTCACAGTACTTGAGCAAGGTGCAGCAGTACCTGTGTGTAATTTATTCCAATAAATGGCCAGAGAATTTAAAAATTAGTTAAATTTGGAGCTTGCAAATTATCAGTTGTGTTTTTATATACAGATTCATTTTGCAGTTGCAAGGATGGGACTATTAACTCCTTTCCTATTTTCTTTGACTTAATGAAAGCATCAAAATGGCATTAATGCAGGTATAAATATGCCCCAATTACAGCTCTTCTTCTGCATTGTCAGGTTTAGTTTTTTTTGCAGGTTGGAACACTTTTTATACATGAACATCTAAAGCAGACATACATGAATATATAAAGCAAAACCAACAACATAGGAACTGCAGCCATGACAATACTGAGTAATATGACTATACTGAATGACTATACAGGAATAATAACCAGCACATAATAATAACAACGATTTCAAAGGAATTTCAAAGACATTCCAAGTGATTGTATTATGAAAAGATTGTTATGGGAAAAGGTTACACTGAACATATGAAAAAACCCCAACTTCTCTGTCTTTAGTCTCTATTCACTATTAGTCCAAAAGGTGAGAAAGTATCAGGAAATCTAAAATAGCATGTATTTCTTTAGTCACATTTAGCCTTCACTTTCAAAAAAACTGGCAGTTGAGGGAAAGTATTGTCTTTCCACATTTAAGTACTGCAACTGTAATCAAAGAATCATTAATTATTATTGAGTTCAAACACAAACTTACCTAAAAATGGATCATCATATTCTGTATTAGACAGCTTAAGCAAGTTTTCCAAAGTCTCCATCACTTTAGCTGAAATAAATGCAATATTCATATCAGCATTCATATGTATTTTTCAAGTAAAAAGTTTTAAACTTTTTAAAGCTGTCAGTGACAATCTCCATACTAATCTTCCCTGATTCTGCTCATGAATGAATGAATGCATCTGTTCCTACATGTTCATATTTAAAGACATTTCTTGCCAAAAGCCTAATATTTATTTTTTCTCTCTCTTCTGAACAAACTACAGGAACCTTTACGCTATTCCCCAACATACAGGAGCACATTCTTGTCTTGTTTTCAGTAAGAAGGGAAAAAAAGAAAAACAGAATAGCTTAAGCCTCACTTCAAACATTATTGAGGTTCACTCAACAGCTTAGTACCATAGCTCTTCTAGCTGTCTAGATGCCAAAAGGGTCTCTCCAACAAACTGTAGATATCTAGACAAACCAAAGCTTATCAGATGCCTTTATATACTGAAATATTATATTTAAGACACCACAGGACATCAAGTCATATTCTCATAGATCCCTTTCATTCCCAGGGTTGGAACAAGCTCCTGAAAGAGAAAACACTCCTACCTCTTTCTGACACTACATCCATTGTAGCTGTAGACGTTCCTGCACTGAGAGGCTGAGGTCGAGGCTGTGGCTGCACACGATTTGGCTGCAGAAAAGATGAATGCTTGCTCAGACTTTGAGGATGTGTTTGGCTCTGGGCTAGGCATGGCATAGATCTTCGAGAGGGTTTTAATGGATGCTCTTTCACTGTCTCACTCTTGCTTGTATTCATACCTGAAAAAGCCAAAAGAACAAGAACCTAAGTTCTGCCACATTATGCAAATGGCAAAGAAAGATGGTTAATTATGAAAATGCAGGGTGATTCATCTACTTAATTCTTCACCTACCTTTCCATCAACATCCCACAGTTGGAATTCAAAATGCTCTAAACTGTGATATGTATGTCATACAGTCATTTGGAAGCAAATGACAGCACTGTCATCCACCTTATTATTGCTAAACAAAATCTTAATTCAGTAGCAGAAGTGAGTAAAATCCCTCAAACAAGCCAATCAAATACAAGCAAAAGATATTCACAAGCTTCCTGATGGATTCATGAACATCCTCTCTTTTGACACGGAGCTGTTTCTGAGTTCTAATCAATCTATTTACTGCATCTATTCACTGTTTCTAGTTTTTCTTCTGGGACCCATGGCACTCTGGGGTTTTACCGTGTGTTGCCTGGCTTTACGTTCAGACACCTAGACACTGACAGAGGCACAAGTCAGCTGTGTGGTATCAGTTATTCTATCATTTGCAGCTGCAGCACTATGAAAGCATTCTCGTTAATACTAGTTTAATTACACTAAGCTACAAAAATGTAGACCAGAAACAATTTAATGGCACTCAAATACACACACTCACTTAAAATTAGGTATTTCATAAAGGAACAGGAATGTAAAAAGAGACCAAACGTAAACCTGCAGAAAGTCCTGAATATTGAAAATATTATTGTAACATGAACACGTGATTAAAACAAGCAGATTTTGTTTTGTTACCATTCTACTATCCACCAAAGGCTAACAGGAGGTAACCTAGTACTCATTTCTCCCTGTTTGAGTCAAGTTTATTCCTTGAAGATCATCATATTCATCACTTAGCATAAAAACCACTATTACTTTGAGTATTCTTACTGTTCTCACATGGGCCTTCTAGTGGAAAAATATAGTAAGCTCATCAGCTACAGAGGTCTCCAGTACCCAATTCCAATTAACAAATATTAAACATCTAAGCTTGACTGTAAATAACATCACATTTTAATAAGATTAAAATTAATATCAAAAGTCAATTTTTTCAGAGAAAAAAGGATCAGTTTACTCCTCTGTTCAGCTCTTGCTGACCTTCAGACTCTGCTAACTGTTTTGTATTACTACACTAACACACATTAGAACTTACGCTACTTGCAGAAGAACCTTAGCTACTTACTACAATAAGGGTGTTAAGGCACTGGCACAGGTTGCCCAGAGAAGCTGTGGCTGCCCCATCCTTGGCAGTGTTCAAGGCCAAGTTGGACAGGGCTTGGGGCAACCTGGTCTAGTGGAAGGTGTCCCTGCCTTTGGCAGGGGTTTGGAACTGGATGAGCTTTAAGGTCCCTTCCATCCCAAACCATTCTATGATTCTCTTTAACATACTGAAATTTAATTAAACCCCATAAAATTGGCAATATGATTTTTTTCACTGAAATGAAAAACAAACTGTAGGTTTAGCAGGTATAATACTGAATTTATTTTATGGCACTTGCTAAAATGTAGTATAAGATTTTTAAACCCTTAAATCACTTGACATTGTGCTACAGTGGTTAAAAAATATTCAGTTTTCAATGTAGTATGCACTATTCCAGGACACTTCGTTTGTATGACTGGCTGTCTCTGTCCTGAGTGTGATAATTATTTACATTAAGAAACATGTAACGACCCTTTCAAGATGATAATTTTCTCAGTAGTCATCCCATTTAAATCCCATTTTATATTTCTTCCCCAAATCTCAGGCATTTGTCAGACAACTGTAATTTGAACCTGTCAGGAAAAAGGGCCACAGCTATCATTACCCATAAACATGCTCACTATTGAACTTCAGTGATTACAATTATATATATTTCTAAACATTTGTGTTTGACAGATAAGAAATAAGTATTTAATAATTATTATAGAACTACAATATGAATTTGCAACTGTGACTCTGCAGTAAATATGCCTCATGTTGTATTCTGGTATTTGGCACAAAGGATGGCTTACAGGCACTATTAAAACTTAAATCTATTCCTGAGAGGTTCCTGCACACTGTAAAATATTTACACTTTCCTTTCAAAGCCACAAAATTTACTGCCCCTTCACTATTAGATAAGATCTTAAACCTTTTACCTATGGGGTAACTTCTGTGAAAAAAAAAACAACAAAACCAAACAAACCCAACCAAAAAAACCACCCCCCCAAAAAAAACCACAAACAAAAACCCAAACCAAAACCGACAAAACAAAAAAACAAAAACAAAAACAAAAGAAAACAAAACAAAAACCAGAAGTGCATGTGGCAACGCCCCCAAATTTCTAAGTCAGTTCAGTCATACTGTAAAGTGTAAAATTCAGAGCAGCCCTGCAGAGACGGACTTGGGGGTGTTGGTCAATGAGAAAAGGAACGTGAGCCGGCTTCAGTGTGTGCTCACAGCCCAGAAAGCCAACCGTATCCTGGGCTGCATCAAAAGGAGTGTGACCAGCAGGTCGAAGGAGGCGATCCTGCCCCTCTGCTCTGCTCTCGTGAGACCTCACTTGGAGTATTGTATGCAGTTCTGGTGTCCTCAACATAAAAAGGACATGGAACTGTTGGAACAAGTCCAGAGGAAGGCCACGAGGATGATCAGGGGACTGGAGCACCTCCCATATAAAGATAGGCTGAGAAAGTTGGGGCTGTTCAGCCTGGAGAAGAGAAGGCGGCATGGAGACTTCATAGCAGCCTTCCAGTATCTGAAGGGGGCCCATAAGGGTGCTGGGGAGAAACTCTTCATTAGGGACTGTAGTGATAGGACAAGGGGTAACGGGTTAAAACTTAAACAGGAAGTTTAGATTGGATATGAGGAAGAAGTTCTTTACTGTTAGGGTGGTGAGGCACTGGAATGGGCTGCCCAGGGAAGCTGAGAATGCTCCATCGCTGGCGGCATTCAAGTCCAGATTGGACAGAGCCTTGGGTGGCATGGTTTAGTGTGAGCTGTCCCTGCCCATGGCAGGGGGGTTGAACTAGATGATCTTAAGGTCCTTTCCAACCCTAACTATTCTATGATTCTATATGAGGCAGCTGAGCACTGGGCAATTGATTCTTGCAACTTAAAAATAAAATTTAAACAAAAGCAAACATATTTGTACATATTTACAAAGGTCTCATGCAGCCCTCATTAATTCAGGAGCTAGCTGCATGATTTGCAGCACTTATTACTTTTTCATTAAGCTTTAAATTATTTAAAAACCTAGAAACACAGTTTCAAAGATAAATGCATTTTACATGGGTAGGCTGACCACAGCCATCAGCTGAGCACTGCGCAGACACTCACTCCCCCCCAGCAAGATGGGGATAACGAATGGGAAGAGCAAAACTGAGAAAGCTCGCTGGCTGAAGTAAAGATCGTTTCAAGGAAAACCAAACTAAAACAATGATGCAGTGGCATTCAGTCACTACCTCCCACAAACAGACAGTTGCCTATCCAGCCTTGGAGCCCCTCCCCTCCCCTCAAATATTATTGCTGACCATGATACTCTATGGCATGGGACATCCCTCTGGGCAGCTGGGATGAGCTCTCCTGGCTCTATCCTCCCCCAGCCTCACCCAGCCCCAGCTGCTCCCTGTGGAGCAGAAAAGGGAAAAAGAGGCTACAATGCTGTGCAAGCACTGCTCAGCAACAACCAACACACTGGGGTGTTAGTAACACTGTTTGAGCCACAGATCCAAAACACACCACCATACAGGCTGCTGTGAAGAAAACTAGCTCCATCCCAGCCAGACCCAGCAGACAAATCCAAAAGTTAATGCCAGAGATTTTTGCTACTCTATTGTTGAAGTGCCTGAAGTTGTTCCACCAAGAACAATACAATGTGACCTCTGAGGGACTGCTTCCTTTCCTGCCAAAGGGACCTATATGGAAACGCACCACAGAAGCAAAAGCACAGTCCCCAAAATATCTGGGAAAGCTTTGAGCAAGGATATTCACATAAATAAAGATTAGAAATACAGATTAATAGTCACCTCTACCAAAAATACAAGATGGAGGAAAAAAATTCACAAAAAAAAATTAAAATCTGTGGTTTCAATGTGAAGGAAAACTAAATACTCTGCAGCATGTTTTTATAAATCTTAAGGACATATATCACCTCTCTCTGACGGTGCTTGAAAAAAGTGAGTAATTTAAACATTGCTTCTGCTTGGAGTGACTTGAACTTCCAAGGAATTTTCCCCCATCAAAATCTGTGCCACTTGAAGGATGTCACACTCAGCAAGTCTCTCTCATGTCTAAACCTCAACATACTAGTCCACAAAGCAAATCCTTGGATTAGCAGGATACTCCCCATATTTAACTATAATAGCTGAGCTTTAAAAGAGCCTCTGATTTAAAATCTCCCCTGAGCTCACAAAACATGCTTTGCTTTAATGTAAGTAAGTGTTGCTCTATCAAGAAATACATAACTTCATTGTCCACCTCTGACAGCACTTCAAGATCTGCAGCACAGTATAACTGTTCTTGGTCAGACTGTTTAATAGGAGGTTAATGTTTCTGCTGCCTCAGAAGGTGCCATAGGTCTGTAAATAGATACAAGCAGAAACGACTATGCTTCCTACTGATACTGAAATGGGCTTTGTGCCAGTGGAGCATGCAGTGACACTGGGCTACAGCACTGAGGATGCTGTGTTCAGAACAGAGCAGTGCTATGCTACTTGCAAGGTTTCAGAGAAGTATTCTTTGTAATGTAAGCATTATTATTAAATATTATCAAGTATTCCTAAATTGACATGGTTTTTAGACCAAAGTCTGTAATAGCTAGACATAGCAATGGGTAATATAGAATATTATAAGTAATATATAAAAAGTTCTATTTTGTAATTGTTATGGATGGCTTTAATGATCTATTTCTTAAGCAGTGATACACCATCAGTAATTATGGACCCTGCCACATAATTGTTACTATTGCTAAAATAGAATGTTTTTTGCATCTGTATTGGAGTCACTGTGTGCAGCAAGATGAATCATTTCAG